AAAAACACACAGATGGGAACCACTGAGTGTTTCCTAAAATGGATTCTATGGAAATGTGCATTTTCCAGAACTTGTAAAAATTAAAAGGTTTGTGTCTGCTGGAAAGCCTCTGCCTCTGTGGTTCGTGCTGTTGGATGCTGACTCCCCTTTGGGCTGAAATTGAGACATGGGCTTGAAGAATTGCCCCTAGCTCCCTCTCTCCTGGTAGTCCCCAGGCAGATGGCTGGGAATCTATTTGCAATCAGCAAGGAACCCTGCTGCCCTCAGACTCCACACAGTGTGAGCGGGACCTGCAGAATGGGATAAAAAACTCTGAAGATTCTTTTAAACCCATTTATATTATAATAAAATAAATGTAAATAAGATTTAAGTGAAGGCAGATTGAAGATATTTCAGATGCCATACAAGATATATCTCATAGCGTGGGTGTAAATTCTGCAAAGGTTAATGCAGTTAAACATATTTGACACATAAAAATGTCAGATCCAACATTAGTCATTCACCAATTGTAATTGCTTTTGTATGGGCCTCTCCTCCCCAAGACATATGCTGAAAACACCAGGCTCAGTGGAAATCTGGGAGGAAAAAAACAAATAATACTTCCCAGCTGTCAGGATCTGTGATTTGTTTTGATAGATTTAACACTGATTTCATTGGCTTTACAATCCTGTGCGATTCTTTTGTGTTTTACCCCCACCTCTCTTTCAGGGAGGGAAAAAGAGTGGAGCAAGGAAGGGCCCTAAGTTTAAAGGAAGCCCAACCCAGTTATGAAGGAGTCGCCATGCTGAAGCCTTACTCAGGGAAAGGGATCTTTTTTAGGGGGCCTGTCTGGCTAATGAGGCCAACTCGAAACAAAGCCTGGGTTGGACAAGTCTTCAGAAAAACCGGTTTTCCCCTCCAGAATGTGCCCCAGGCAGCAAAACTCAACTGATTGCCATGGCTGAGTGGTATTTTTCTTAGGAGCTCACTATAAAGAAGATTCCAGCTTTGCAGGTGGATACCTGTCACTTGGGTATCAAAGCCCTGCCCCCCAGCCAGTGACCTCTGAGGAGGGTGGTGAGCCTCTTCTCCCTCCCCCAGCCCCCCTGCAATTCGGCCCCTGAACAATAAAGAGCTCCCAGACTGACCCAAGAACCAAGAGAAGCAAGCAGTTCTCCGAATATCTTCCTGCTTCAAGTCAATGTGGATTTAAACTTAGTCCCTGTCACCCCCACCTTCTCATTCTGAGCCCCACAGACAACGAAAGGATAAGGAGACCCAGCCACAGGCATTTTTTAAAAACATGTTTACTCATAAAAATTATGCAGTAAATCCAATTGGAGGTTGATGGTGGTTGGAGTGTTGAGCTAATTAACCAGCAAATACTTCTTATCCAAGGTTCTGAAAGAAGCCCCAAGATCAGAATAAAAAGAGCACAAAACTGGAGCAACATGGTATTCCC